CCACCCCCCACCCCCACCTAACCCCACCCCCCAGAGAGGTGAGAGCTTTCAGTCTAAGTCCCGTCTTTTATTCTTAAGACAATGGCTCCACCCGGAGCAGGGACCTAAATAGGAATCTGCCACCTCCCCGGTCACCTGGGAGAGAGGATTTCCCCAGTCAAACCCCTTCTAAAGGGGCAGAGGTAGGATTCGAACTAGGAAATCCAAGGATCTCCCACCTTCTAGGCAAGCACGCAACCACCGGGCTACAGAGTGATCTTAAAGCTAGGGCTGCCTCAGGCCATACTTAAGTAAAGGGGAGCAGCGCCAACAGGAAAGATTGACAGAGCTTCCTGTTCACAAAGAGAGCACCTTCCTCAGGGACACGAGGGCTCGAACCATGCACCTGAGCCTCAAAGGCAACTGCTGTGACCACTGCGCTACCAAGAGCTGCTTGTAAGGAGGAGACTCTTTTTGGCCCAATAAACAGATAATTCACATGGACCAGCTTTAACAAGGAAGTCTCCGAGCTCCCAATGCTCAGAGTCTATCTCCCAAGACCCAGGGAGGACTGGAACCCAGGTCTTCAACAATAGAAGCACTTACTTTAGCCTCTGTGCTACAGAGAGCCTCTTGCTTTATGTGACTGCTTTGGCCCAATTAATAGTTAATTAAAGGGGAAGGGGTTCAAGAGGAAAGGTACAGAAGTGCCTCCTGTTCAACTCTTTTGGTGTTCACTGGAAAGCAGGAGCCTTGAACCAGGGTCCCTAACAGCCCAGGCAAGCACCCTAACCCCTGGCCCATAGGGGGCTGCTTATGTTAAGGGTTTACTTTAGCCCAATTAACTGATAATTACAGTGGACCATCTTTAATAGAAACACAGTAGCACTGTCATTGGCTGGGAGCCCCAGAGAGGCAGCAAAGTCACTAATCAGCTGTTATCACTGTGCTTAGCCGCCTGTTCCTTGCGACAGGGTTGTTAGCCAGTCATCAGGGCAGGGAAATGAGACACAAGACCAGTGTCCCCTGTAAGGTGAGCACTTGGGAAGCTGCGCAGGAGAGATTTAAGTGCCACCTCGCTGATTAGCAGAGTGGCCACAGCTGTCCAGAGCCTGAGTTTCTCCTGGGAGTTCACATCCACACACACGTTCTCAGCCTTTCCGGACGACTGTGCCCCTTTCAGGAGTCTGCTTGTCTTGCGTATCCCCAAGATTCACCGCACTTTCAAAACCTAGTTCTTCCCAAGTCAGACATACAGCTCCACACACACCATTGGCACGGAAAGACGGCCGACTGTCTCGTGTTTACCACAGAATTACACAGTGCATTGGTTGGGGTACACTTGTACTTCCAAAGTATCAGAGCCAGCCAGGGCTGGAAGAGACCTCCGGAGCTCATCTAGGCCAACCCCCACATTTCAGTACAATTAATTGTGCTACCAGAATCTGTTTCCCACTTCTGTCTTCCCAAACCCTGCCCCCCAGGGCTGAAGCCTGTAACTTAACCTCACAGGGCTCCCCTGTGGTCTGGGGATCTGCACCTCTGCCCTTCTTGCCAGCCTTGCATTTCCAAACCCCCCAAACCTGTCCCATAATCCCATGGGGGCTGCAGTCCCCAGACTGAGAAACACTGGAATAGATGACATAGCCCCTGAAAGCCCTCTGCGTACCCCCAAGAGAGCATGTGTCCTGGTTCAGAACCATCCTCTCAGACATCACCAACCCTTCGCTATTCGTAGTCCAAGGAAATCAGCAGAACCCTTTGGAGACAACAGGCTCATACACGCTGTCTTCTTACTTCAGCACAGCTAGGTCAGGCCAGGAGTAGACCCCAGGAGTTTGTCCAAATTTCCCTCTAATTTTTTCCATCCATAGGGGGAATGAATACAGTGAGTTATGTGCACCGAGGCAGAGCTTGGGGCAGAAGCAGTAAAGCACGTGTTTCTTAAGCAAGAAAGCGCCTCACTTGAAATAAAGCACAAGACTGCTGATCGTGTAATAGAAGGGTGGATAATCTGTGGGAAGCAACAGCTTTCCATGACACTAGGATGGCTGTGGTAATTTGCCCCAAACATTTGAACTTTATTTAGCCTTTTTCTACCCTGTCTTTCGACTGCATCTCCAACAGACCCCCCTCCCCCCTTCTCCTTGCTTCCAATTGGGGGAGGCCAGAGATTAGCCATGGTACCAGTACTTACGATCCCAGTGCCTCCATGAAGATGAATGTTTTTCGGATGTTGTTGGTCTGTTTCTTCCAGGAACGGGTATCATCCACTTCCTTGCGGCCCATTTTCTCCAGAGCTGAAGCGGGGAATTCTGCCAGGAAGCAAGGAAAAGTGGTCAGCTGAAATAATTCAGCTATTTCAGTAGAAGGGGAGGAGGGTAAAACTTAAACCACTGCAAAGTACCCATTTGCTTTGGAGGTTTTTGAAGATTTCCTTTTGGGTCTGTCAAAGCCAAGATGCAAGGAAGTCAAATTTGCAATCAAAATCATGTGACATATCATGTGACACATCATGTGACTACTACATATCATGATGAAAGCATTTTACCCACAATTCCCAGTACAAAAATACAAGTGCAAAGGAAAACTGTTTTTCTGAGAATTTAACACAAAATAATCACTCTCCTTGAAAATCACCCAGTGCACGCCACCCACAGTCCCTAAGCAGAAGGAAAAACTATGTAGAACTTTAAAGACTAACAAGATGGTTTAATAGGTGATGAGCTTTCACCTAGTAAACCATCTTGTTAGTCTTTGATCTTGCTAAAACAAAAGGAAAAACTGTGTAGCACTTTAGACTAACATGGCTAGTCCCTAAGCAGATGAGACTTCAAGGTCTATTGGCTCTTACATAGCAAAATGCATCAGATGCCAAATATGTATTATAGCTAATATTAGGAGGCTTGGCTAGAAATCTAGCACTCATAGGGTGGGACTTGTCATTTGGGGAGATTCATTTAGTGACAAATGTGTGAGATTGTCAATTACTAATGTTGCTATTTTGCTGAATATTCAGGAGCTATAAAACTGTGATTATGCTCCTGCATGGCTGCTAATGCTAGCCTGCTAAAGCACCCTTGAGTTAATAGATTAACCTAGCTCAATATGCAAGCCAGCAAGCAGCTCTAATATAACCTGCACCTTCAGTCACATCTAATTTTAAAGAGCTAGTGTTGACTCAGGGGAAATTTACTGACCAGTGTGCTGATCTAGCTAGTAGTATACCCTGGATCTCTCTTTTTTTTTTCTTCCTGGGAATATTTGCACGGGAAATGGAATGTTACGTAGAAATCCCAGTATTTCCTGATGTGGAGTTGCAAGCTGCTGACATCACAATTGTGGCTATAACAAAAACTGTCATGTGACAGAAAAAAGTTGGCATTTTGGTCTTAATTTTGCTCCCGATAGAAGATGTCAGGGTGATTGTTCAGGAGGCTGGGTGCCTGGTGCTTAACCATAACCCAGGCATAGCATGGGCAACCGCTGTCATGGAGCTCAGGCTATTCCCAGTCCACGCAAGACAACAATCAAGCTCTACTTAGTGGCTGATCCAGCAAGGAACACGGAAAGAAAACAAAGAGTAGACATTAGCTCTGGCTTAGCCCTCACCACATAAAGGAATACCATTCCACTTGTTTCCAGACAGTGTTCCCTCTGATTTTTTTCAATCCCTGTGCAGAATAAATTTTATGTGCACTGAGTCATATGCAGATGTGCACCCCCATTAGACACACATTCTGCCAGCGGCAGGTTGCTCTGCTAATCAGCTGGGCAGCACCTGAACTTCTCCTGGGGGGCCACCCACGCACACAGCTTACAGGGTGCAATCTCTTCATTTTGGAGGCTGCCTGCACATTTGCATGTAAAGTGCAAGGTCTGGGGATGTGAGCACATGAATTTAGATGACAATTACTGTAGGCTTAAAACACTGGTTCTCAACCCATTTACCATTCTGGGCTGCTTATGCAGCTCTCTTTGTTAACTGGACTCCAGCCACAGAATACAGGCAGTCCCCGGGTTACGTACAAGATAGGGACTGTAGGTTTGTTCTTAAGTTGAATCTGTATGTAAGTCGGAACTGGAGCCCAGATTCAGCCGCTGCTGAAACTGACCGCCAGTTCCGACTTACATACAGATTCAACTTAAGAACAAACCTACAGTCCCTATCTTGTACAT